GGTGCTAAGGGGCAGGGTGCTAATGGGCTAGGTCCTAAGGGGAGAGGTGCTAAGGGGTGGGGTGCTAAGGGGCGGGGTGCTAAGGGGCGAGGCCTGGGAGGATAAGTGAAAAGCAAAGTCCCCTCTTCCCCCGATCCTACCGGGGCAGGGCCAGTGTCTTCCTAGGATCTCCCAAGGCCGTAACCCGGAGATGACTCGGCTGTCCCAGAGGCAGCACGTGGTGGTGCAGAGTGGTGCTCAGAGCAGGTCTCTGGACGCCGGTCCACCTGGACTTTTACTCCCGGCGCCTCCCTACCAGCCGCTGAACCTGGGCCGAGCCGCCTTCTCTCTCATCTCTTAGCTTCCTCTCGCTAGTCAGAAATGAGGTTACCCTGTCCTCCGTCTGCCAGGGTCCTGAAGATGAAGTAAACTGGTGCCGTTCCATCTAAGCCCCGGGCCCAGCATGTCCCCACGAAGCCGTCCGCCTTAGCTCTTTGCCCCTGAGATGAGCAGTAGCGAAGTCCGGCCGCAGGCATGGGCCTGACACTGACCTTGGGGCTTACCGTGACTGAAATGTAATGTCCTCGATCAGCATGGGGATCCTGTCCCCCTAAAGGGAATTCTGAGGCCTTGACTAGTTCTATTAGGGAGTGTCAAATGCAAGGTTTGGGGTTTTTTTAAACCGCTATTAAAGTAAAAACTTCAAGAAATTGTGCTATTCAGATTATGTGTGTAACTCATGGCTCAAGAAGAGTGTTTTTACAGCTAAAGTCATTTTTAGCTCTATTCACGCCTGCTAGTCTGCAGATGAGCCTTTGATCACGTAACAATGCAGGCGGTCCGGGGGTCAATTTGAAAGAAGCAGTCATAGTTAAGCTAATTTTTACAACATAAACATACCATTTATCTCTTTTCAGTCTTTATCATTTACTAGGATTTACACAAATGCCTGCTAGGGTGTATTTCTGCCAGCAGCTCAGAAGGACCTGGTTTGGGGGATAAGGCCACGTTTAGGGATGTGGCTTGACTGAAGTTTGGGGGTGACCGAGATTCCTTGGGCCCCTCGGAAGAGGGGGACTTTAAAGTCCTACCCGGTGGGGGTGGGCTTCGCCAGCGCGCTCCTGGCTTTTCTTTGTTTCTCTCTCCTATTTGATGAAACGTGGTGATGTTTGCCCTGCTGGAGGCTGAACAGAGTGGGGCTCCTATGTCGCATGGCAGAGCTGACTTTCAGTTCTGTGGAGCAGTCCATGGTGTTCCGACAAAACATGTCTCTCCCTTCTGGAAAGGTGGGGGTCCTCACCACGGCCCACCTAGGTTCCCCATTAGCCACAGAACCGGGCTAAGGTTGAGGAGGGACTTTAGCACACAGATTTCCTGCTGGGGATTTTGGAACCACTGACCCAACACATAGGGCCAGGGCCATGTTCCCACAGGGGTCTCGGATTCCCAGGGTGGGCAGCACCACCTCCCACTGGTGGGACCACAGGGGGTGGCATGGGATTCTGCCCGCTGATTTCTCTGCCCTTTCCTCCTCCTGATGTGCTGCTGGGTAAGCGGCAGCTTAAACCTGGACCTGCAGGTTTGCTCGCCACAGGTCCTGTGGACCAGCGATGCCCCATAACAGAGCCCTGGGCCCGGCCCAGCCCTGCTCAGACGCCCGTGGTGGGGTTAACTGGAATAAGCGTCCCCTCCCCGCCCTGAAGACCCCAACTTAGCCCCAGGTGGCTTGGGAAGGAGAAACAGGGAAGGAAAGCAGTAAAAGCTTCTGAAGCCACCACGTGTCCACTGGGCTAAACAAAACCAGGGCAGACACGAGCTGACTTCGGAAGAAACAGCGCAGCGGCTGACGTGCGGTGTGAGGCAGCAAGCACCGCGAGTCTCCGCGTAGCTGGGCTGGCCACCACCTGGCCACCAAATGGTCACTGCACCACGTGGAAAACAGCCATGTTTACACATCTCAGCCACACCTTTCAAATGTGCACACACGCCCAGCACTGCGCGTGCAGGTGTGTGCTAGAAGGAGCCCGCGTGCCGGTAACTAGTGTGGGATCGATGGGAGTCCCGGGACCCAGGTTGGCTATATATTTGCAGGGCCCAGTGCAAAATGAAAATGCCAGGCTCCTGCTTCAAAATGTGGGCAAAACAAAACTTCCCTTCCTTCTGCACTCTCACTCTCAACGTGGCATAGTGGCTTATGCTCTTCAATGTCGCACTCCCTCCTGCAGCAGGGACACTCAGAGGTGCCCTGGTCCTCCTTGTGTCCGTGCCCACCAGGGGAAAAGTGGCAGTGGTCACTGGTTGGGCAGGGAAGTGGGCAGCTGAGGACCCAACCCGAGGAGAAGGGGAGGTGGTGGGTGCTGGGTGCTGGGTGCTGGGTGCTGGGATCTCACTTGAGTTGAGGCTCCAAGTCCCCAGGTGTGCTGCACTGTCCCATAAGACTTCCTTATAAAACCCAAATCCAAAGCTAAATGATTAAGAATTTGGGGGTGCCGACTGCAGCGGAGCCCAGCAAGGCTCTGGTGGCGGCCCTGGTCTCACGCCCAGGCCGGATGCAGGCTCTGCCCCAGCTCACAGCTGGCTTCCCCTCAGGCGGGCCCTGGGCGGGCTGGGGACCAGGCGCAGCCCTCTGCTCTCTCCGCAGGGGCGGTGAGGGCCTCCAGCGTCTTCCCCATCCTCAGCGTCACGCTGCTCTTCTTCGGCGGGCTCTGCGTGGCGGCCAGCGAGTTCCACCGCAGCAGGCACAGCGTCATCCTCAGCGCGGGCATCTTCTTCGTCTCTGCAGGTGAGCACCTGGCCCTGCCCTGAGCCCGCGCCAGGGCCACGGGACAAGGCAGCGCTAGTCAGGGTTCCCTCCAAGGAGGGCAAGGAAGTGTTCAACGATTACGTTAGGAATGAGGCCCACGGCCTCTAGGGAGAACCAAGATGCTGACACTCCAGCTGCGGGGCCAAGGAGGAGAGACGGGGGAGGCGGGTGGCAAGGCCGGCTCGGAGGGGCCAAGACTGATGTATGTCCAGGCTGGCACGTGGGCCAGGGGCACGTATGGCGTGTGGCTGAGAGGCTGGGTCAGTGTGTCCGAAAGGGGTCCGGCTTTCTGTTCTCCGGGGCCTCTTCAGCTCCTATCTCGGGCCTTTTGAGGCACGTGTTTGCCGGCTAACTGTGTTCACAGCTCTTCAAGTGCTCAAACCTTCCTATTGTTCAAAGCATCTCAGGGAACAAGGCAAAAACCAGCAGTGCCAGTGCTGTCAGGGGAGATGCTAGAGCCAGTGGCAGCCCTGACCAGCGGGGCCCGGGCGGCGAGGAGCGTGAGGGACAAGACTAAGGAAGGGCCCAGCCTCGCCCTCCTCTCTCCCCCCTTCGCCTCCCTCCCGCCTCCCTCCCTGTCTTCCCCCTTCCCTCTGGGCTCCCTTCCACCTGCTCCCCATCTCTTCCCACCACTAGCAATCAATGCCAGCCGGACGGAATGCTTTAGGGAGCCTCCCCCTCGGGGAATGACCTTCAAGCTTTCCCGATAATGACGGGATATCTGCTGGGATGGGGACACTGGGGACGGTATAAAAGAGTGGGTGACAGAAGCTGACCCTCCTGGACTTGCATCTGGCCCCACCTGTGGGGCCTGGGGAGCGCTACCTACTCCCTATAACTTGGTTTCCTCCGGTGTAAAGTGGGAAATAATAACACTACCTGCGTCATAGGGCTATTGGAAGGAGGTTGAACATGAAAAGCACAATGTCACTTTCTAGTATTGCAAAGCAGCAGCCATACGGTCCTGGCCCCTCTAAGACCTTTCCCTCTTGTCCCCTCCCCGCTGTCTCCCCTCGTGTGAGGTGAGGAGGTTGGACGGCCCCCCTCTGAGTCTCTGGGAACCGGCTCCAGCCACAGACCATGGAGAAAGCTGCCCAGGGAATGAGGTCACCCCAAAGGGGCTGTGGCCCCAGTCACACTCTGTGGACAGATGGTCACAACTGGCAAACTGAGGGTCCTGTGCTGCTCAGAGGCATATTCTAGTCTCTGGAGGCCCGGCCAGACCCCCTGGGCCCCGGGGGCCCCGGCGGATGCTGGGCTGTGCAGCCGGGAGGGCTCCTGGACAGGAGAAAATCATTATCTTGTCCCCCAAGGGGATGTCAGGGAAGAGTGTGTCACCAGCAGCTTTCTTCTAGCAAGAGGTGCTGTGGGAGCTGTCGGGCTCATGAGGTACAGGGAGCTGGGAACTGAGGGGCAGTGGTGAAAGCCCTGAGGACAGGCCAGGAGCTCGGGGTCAAATCCCAGGCCCTCTCCCCCACTCACCTTCCCAAGGACCCCAGGGAGCCTCAGCTCCTCCACCTACAAAATGAAGGTTTTGAAGGACTCAGCACTCTCTAAGGCCCTTTTTGGCTCAGTTATTCTAATGATGTCTCAGACAAGCAATCAACAACCCTTTATTAAGCACCTACTATGTGCCAGGAATGGTGAGAATGCTGAAGAGCATGGGCTCTGAAGCCAGGCTACCTCATGCAAATCTGGGCTCTACTGCTTCCCAGCTGTGTAACCTGGGACAAGTCTCCTAACCTTTATATGCCTCAGTTTCCTCATCTGAAAAATGGGGCTAATAGTGGCTCTACTTCTTAAGGCTGCTAAGAGGATTAAACACACTGGTATAAAATGTCTAGAAGTGCCTAGCATGCAGTAACTGCTCAACACAGTAGCTGCTATTCTATGCACTGTTCCCTATAATTCTTATGCCATCTCAAGTCACTAGTTCCCCAGACATGCACTCAGGCTGGGAGATGGGGCCAGAGCAGCAGACAAAACCTGCCTAGCTCCGGCCCTGGGGAGCCAACAGCCTCGTAGCTAGGGGGGTGGGGTGACTGCCACCCCCCCTCTGCTCTTCACAAGCTTTGTTAGTGAGATCTAAACCCACCCGAGGCTAAGGGACCACCCTCAATTCAAATCCCACTCCCACCCTTCCCTAGCTGTGTTGACCAGGGAAGTTACTCGTGTTCTCTGTGTCTCAGTTTTGCCAGTTTTAAAAAGCAGGCCTGTTGCCATGGCTGGTGGAGGTGGTGCACGGTGCCTGACCACAGGGGGCGCCCTATAGATAAACGGACTCTCACCGGCTTCCCTCCTCCTTAACCTGGTCCGTTTCTTTTCCTGGCAAGACTTCCATGTGCAGCTTCCCAAACTTTACGCAAAGTGTTCTGCTGGCGGAGGAGTCCAGGCCGTGGCGAGGGCCGCCTTCAGCGAGCTGAAATGTCTGTACAGGCCGTCTCCCACTGACACTTAAAAATTCATGTGAAATCTGCTCTCCCCTCCGCATCTTACTCAGGTTCATTTTCGTGTAAAAGCATGTGCTGCCCCGCCGGTCTCCAAGCCAGCTGGCACTCCCGGAGGAGAAGCTGGTTTCCATCCTGCGGCTGGCTGCAGCCTGGCACAGGGCTGGGGGGTCGGTCCAGACTGAGAACTGCGCAGGGACTAGAACCGCTGCCAGGCCGCGACGCTGTGCAGAGTGATGCCGGGGGGCTGGTAGAAGCAGACCCTGCCCTGCCCTCGGGGGCAGGCCTAGATGGGGTGTGGCCGGAGACAGTATCCAGGCCGTGAACTCCCCTCACAGCGTGTGCACCAGCCGTGCAGAATGGGAGCACTGGGGCAGAGGCCGTGGCCCTGCTATGCCAAGCTTTAACCTTTTGGTTGCTGGGCCATGGGGAGATCTTGGGGATCCCCAGGAAGAGCATGGGGTGCTCACGAAATGGAGGGCAGGGTCAGGAGGCCACTGACGATGCTTCTTTACCAGCTAGTGCAGGACCATAAAGAGAGGCAGCCACCCTTAGCACCGCCCTGCATATGGCCTGAACTCGGAGCAAGGAGACGCCAGCCAATGTGCCAGCCTCTCAGTCACTATTGGTATCAAGGCCAGGATGAGGCCCTTGCAGCCAAAGGACAAAAAGAGATACTCGACCTTTGGAGCAATGATGTGAGAAAGGAGGTCAGACACGAGCAGAGCCTGGCCCGGGGTCTGTTGTTTCTTCTCACTGCTCCCTGGAGATTCAGCTCTCCCTGCCCCCCCCCCCC